GATTTAAGGATGCAAAAATCTTTAAAAAATCCATTGTATCAAATCTAGCAATACATAATAAGGACATCAGGAATAGGTGGGTTTTCCCCCAGGAATGTAAGGTTCATTGAACATTAGAAAGCCAGTCAATGTAATTCACCATCTTAATAGAATATAAAGGAGAAAAACCACAGGGTCATTACAACAAACGCAGAAAAACTTTTAATGAAATTCAACACCTCTTCGGGATAAAAACTATCAGCACACTAGGAACAGACAGGAACTTCCTCAACCTAATAAAGGAGGTATAGAAAGCTTACACTAACATCACAGTTTTATAACTTGTTATCCTGAAATAATTTTAGGCTTAGAGAAGACTTACAAAAATAGTACAAAAAATTCCCCTATCCCGTTTACACACCTACCCCTAAGGCTAATATCTTATATAGCCAAAGCACAATGCTCAAAACTAAGAAATTAACGCTGGTATAAAACTGTTACCTACAACCTTATCTGGACTTCACCACCTTCCCACTATGCCCTCTGCTGTCCCAGGACCCCGTCTGGGACCCTGTGCTGCCTTCGGTCAGCGTGACCTCTGTCCCCTCCAGCCTGCCCAATTCCACGGTCAAGCCTTGCCTTTCGTGAAGTTGACACTGTTGGGGCTACCTGGCCAGTTATTTCGAGGAATGCCCCCTCCATTTGGGTGCTTCAGGTTTTCTCATGATTATGTTGAGATTATGCATTCTGAGAAAGAATACCACAAAAGTGATCTAGCCTTCCCACAGCCTCATATCAGGGCCACATATCAGCTGGCTTAAGACAGGGTCTGCCAGGCTTTTCTACTGAAAAGTTACTCTTTAAAACTTTGTAAATAATAAATGTTTGAGGAGAGATACATTGAGACTATGCAAATATTCTCTTTCTTAAACTTCTGCCCGCCGATTTTAACATTCATTGGTAGATCCTACATGCAGTAAGTTCCCCTCTGGGGGTCTGATGGCGATTTTCTAGTTCCCTCATTCCTTCTACATTTATTTTATTTTGTTTTATTTATTTTGTTTCATTTTATTCTGACATTCATGGGATTCTTTATTTAAATATTTATATATTATTAATTTTATTGTCTTCTTAAAGTTTTAATGCTACTTATGACTATGTAATATATCCACTTAGTTGAAAATTCAAAAGTTGCAAAAGCACACGTAATGAAAAGTTGAACACACACCACGGGTCTCATTAACTTAGTTCCCTCTCCTAAGGCAACCAATGTTACCAGTATCTTGATATGTTTCCAGCAATATAATGCATAAGAAGTATATACACACATATTTTTTCTTTTATGAAACTTCATTCTACATTTATTAATTGTAATTCATCTATAAGGAAGACATGTCCCTTCTCAACATTTTATTTATTTGTTCAATCATTTATTTTTGTAGTGTGGACTTACAGATATTTATTTTGTTATTGAGATTGTTCTAGCTTTCACCACTGGGACTTATTTAAGGTTGGCTCCTGCATCCTATTAATGTACCTCTATCTATCTATCTATCTATCTATCTATCTATCTATCTTTTTTACTTTTTGGCACCACAAAATTCCTTGGGCTTATCTTTTATTTTCCCCATCTCAGCTCTGAAATCAACTACTTTTCCAAGTAACTTTGGTTCTTTTTATTGAAGAATGATATTTAAAAACTAAGATCTCAGTACTATCTGTGATAATTAACATCATGTTTAATGATAAAAGATGTTTTCTCTATAAGATCAAGAACAAAACCAGGATGTTCATGCCTCCATTTCTATTCAACATTATAATGAGGTCCCAGCCAATATACTGAGCCAAAAAACAAAAAGAAAAAGAAAAAAAGAAATACATACCAATTAAAAATGAAGTAAAACTTCTTATTTACATAAGACATAATCACCTATGCAAAGAATATGGGCTAATCTACAAAAAAAAAGCTACTGAGTTTTGCAAGTTTGCAGGACATAAGGTAAATATACAATATCAACTGTATTTCTATATATTGGTAGCAAACAAACTGAAAATAAAATTTTAAATACCATTTATATTAGAAGACATGAATACTTAAGGACAAAATTAACAAAACAAGGATAAGACTTGAACATGGAAAATTACGAAACATTACAGAGAGACATTAAAGAAGACCTAAATAAATGGAGAGGTATATGATGTTCATGGATCTGAAGCTTCGATCCTGTTCAAAGGTCTATTCTGTCCCAAATTTATCCATAGATTCAACGCAATATTACACAAAATCCCAGATTTTTGTAGAAAATGACAAACTGAGTGTAAAGTCTATACAGAAATTTATCTAGATAAATTCCTCTTATAAAACATCCTCCAGAGAATCTTAAAGCTTGAAGGCATTTCAGAGGTCATAATTTTGTGTGAGTAAAATGGCTTGTCCATTTCCCCACAGGAAGGAAGAAGCAAATTTAGGACATGGATTTCCACACTTCAATCTTGTGCTCTTCATGGATATTCACAATTAAGATTAATTCACTTTTCTTACTTAACCTAGGAAGAGATCCAGATTTCCCTTAAAGATACTAGCGTCTCTATATGAATTTATCTCTAGTTTTGCCACAATATATACAAAAGTGGCCAATAATTATGTAATAATAGATCTACAAAATAGTAAAGCTCCCCAAGAGTATTACAGCATCCCCATAACTAATTCCCTGTTCCTTAGTGATACAAACCCAGACAGACCCAATCGCGCGTTCACAGCCTTTCAGAGACAGACTCAGAATGTGCAGGCGCCGCGATCCCGCTGCTCTCGTATCCCTCAAGCACGCAAGACGCCTGGAAACATCAACGCCTCGTCTGACATCCACCCGAGTAAACCTGCAGCAGCCTTCAGTCCCGATGATTTCTGTTTGTGGACGCTTTGTAATTTTTGTGGTTGTGCTTCTTTATGGAAGACACTTAAGACCTTTGCTCAGAGTAAGTGGCATCTATTTTTACCAATTATAACAATTTAAACTCCTGCCTCCATAATACATCACCTAAAGCTATGTTTTGGCAGCTCCTTCTTCCTGCTGGCTGGCCCCCTCCAATCCCATTCACCTCAAGGGAGCTGGTGGGTGTCTTGCTATCACCTCGGCTCTGGGCATGTCTAGCCCTGCAGAGCAGAGACAGGATGTGTGTCTCTCAGCGCTTTCCCCAGTTGACGCCAAACTCCCACTTAACACAGAGAGCCTAACCCTGATGAGGAAATCTTTGTGGCGTATCTTAGTCTCCTGACAGGACAGAAGAAAGCCCATGTTTTGCCTCTTCTTTAAGTTAGCAGTGACACAACAGTGCCTCACAATTGTCTCTTCAAGAAATGTTTTCTCTCCTTCCTTCTTTCTCTCTACCCCCCACCCTTTTTTTTTACTGAGTTCTCCTTGGTGAGGGTACAACAAAGGGATATATGTTTGTGGCTTACAGCTTTGTACACCAAAGAAAACCTCTGACCGGGGCGCCTGGGTGGCTCAGTTGGTTAAGCGACTGCCTTCGGCTAGGGTCATGATCCTGGAGTCCTGGGATCGAGTCCCGCATCGGGCTACCTGCTCAGCAGGGAGTCTGCTTCTCCCTCTCCCGCTCCCCCCTCTTATGCTCTTTCTCTCTCTCACTCTCTCTCTCAAATAAATAAATAAAATCTTTAAAAAAAAAAAAAAGAAAAGAAAACCTCTGACCATGTATTATTTCTGGGAGACATGAGAAGACTTTGATCCTTCTCTTTGACAAGGGTCTTCTGTAGTGAACTGATTTGATAAAAACAGTACATAGCCACCATTAGGGTCTAAATAGGGATACAACCCATAAAGAACATTATCAGTGTTATAAAGTGGATGTCTACTTGTCTACATGGAGTTAATAAATATTTAAGAACGGTCATGTGCTTCTCAGAAGGGTCAGGAAGGATCCAATATCTACCCCAGTGCTTTGTACATGGTGGGAGTCTAAAGTTCGAGTAGAGGTGTTTAATACCACACAACTATTCCACAACAAATGCTTAGAAAATCACCACACTCCCTATTCCCGTAACATAAGGCAAAAATTCAGTACTTGTCTTCTTCCTCGTAAGTCATATGGTATCATTCTATCTTTACCTTAGGGATTAATAGAAAAGAATATTTGGCACAAAATAGACATTTCCTAAGTGTTGCTGATTATATATCTTTCAGGGGAAAACTGGAATAAATTGAAACAGAAGGATTAAGTACACAAAAGAACTAGATAAAGATTCTAAGCAAATATGGAAATACATAAAAATTTGATAGTAAAATTTTTATAAAAATTTTACACAAGCGTTTGAAAATCAAAAAATCAAAATCAGTGTCTGTACTAACAATGCCTGAAATAGTACAAATAAAATAGACAAAGATTAAAAAGAAGGACTAGACACAATGATTTCCTGTCCTAAGCAAAAATTACAGTATTAAAAACAAGTAATAAGCAGATTACAATAAAAATAAAGTTATAAAATTAGTAGCATCCATTTTGTGGGCATTAAAATTCAGTTTCAAATTATAGAGAAGCCCGAAATAAGAAAAATATTCATTCCTTTGTTAAATATTGAAAACTAAAGTGCTTTTAATTCCTTTTCAAATAAGATCTGTATGAATAAATTTGTAGAGTTCACTTTAAAATTAAAGACATAAAGACAAGGAAAAACATTCTGATTTTGTTTTGCTAGTTTTCTTAAAGAATAACGTAACATTGGGTCTTTATTTTTTCTCTTAATATTAAGGAAACAATGAGAAGCAAACCAACATTACTGTGATAAAAGAAAAATCAATTACCATACTGAATAACATTTCAAGATGCATTTGGGGAGTCAGAATCAATAAATTTTTGGGCTGAGAAGTTCAATATTATATTCAATTATATGTAGAATAAAAATGAAAACTACATCATTGAATTTTATTCACTTAAAACTTTTTTTTGGCCGTAAATTCATTTTAGCCAAAATATATAAAGATTGTTCCATGAAAATAACCTACCTTTTTATCATAAACATCTTGCCAGTTGACTCCAGAGAAGAAACTGTGCCTCATAATTTCTTTTGCATCATCTGGGCCCCCGCCAAGGCTAAGAGACAGAAACAAGAGTGAGAGAGCATTAAGACATTTACATAAGCCCAAAAGGAAACAAAAAAAGTGTTCACGAAATGTAATTCTCCGTGGTTTACATAGTTCTTGAGATCAAGAGCTGTACCAATAAAAAGCTTTTGCTGTCAGATCTGATTTCCCTAACGTGCTATTAATAAGAAGTCGGTTGAGCACCCAACTCTTGATTTTGGCTCAGGTCACGTCATGATCTCAGGGTCAAGGGATCGAGCCCCATGTTGGGAGTCCGCTTGAGATTCTCTCTCCCTCTCCCTCTGCCTTGTCCCTGCACTTCCCTCGCACTCTCTCTCTCAAATAAATAAATCTTTAAAAAAAAGAAGAAGAAGAAGAAGAAGTAGCCTCAGGACAACGTCGTACCTGCAAAGAGTGCAGGCTTTGGGGACAAAACCGAAATAGGCAATGAGCGCTGGAACTTAAAAGATATGTGACAAGAACAAGCTCTTAGTCCCAGTGTCCCCACTGTAGAGGGGGACAATGATACCAGCCTGGTGGATCACCACGAGTGTTAGAAATAACAGAGGTAAGCACTTAGCACAACAAATGGGAGCAACTGCCATAGTCAATTCTATAAACCAAATTTATTGTGGTTAAGACTCAGGTCAAACTATCCTTGTTACCATAAATTCTGAAATGACTAAATAATTAGTAAGAAAAGCAACTTGTACAGTATTGCTAATAGATAGAAACTCAGTGGCTATTTTCATACCTGAAGTTAATTTCCACAGAAATGACGTTGCTAATCTACGAAATATCACTGTAACCTAATTTATTATGCAAGCTCTAATACATGTTACCAATTTAAAGATGCCCCCCCATCTTTGCAGGTACTCTTACTTAACAGAGAGCCGGCACAGTATGAAATTCAGGTATTTTCCAGCTTTCTCAGTCTCATATAGTGCATATTAGTCACTACGAAGAAGGAATGAGAAAAGCAAAAAAAAAACAAAAACAAAAACAAAAAACCAGATGGAAGCAAGAGGGGAGTGAAAGGGAAGAAAAAAAGAAAGAATGGGGAAAGAGCAGGGAAAAGAAAGGAAAGGCAATCTGTTTAAATCTGGATTGACAGAGCAAGCTTTCTCTGGTCTTGTTCACGGCCAGGAACGGTGTACTTAACAGCCAGCTCTCAGGGGGAAATGATGCATGTGTAATACTACATATGCAGATTATATGTACACGTTTGTTATGAATTTTACAGACATAAAGGATGCGAGGCACAAAATTTATAAAAAATAATAAAATACAGAACGCCCTTTACTCTAAAATAGCCAAGTGATGCTCACAGAAAACATTTGTTAATTTTTGCTGAACTCGAAAGCCACACTAATTGGGTTAGGAGTAGCTCCAACGTGAATACTGGCTGATGTTTTTGTTTATGGTGAAGACTAATTTGAAAGTGATACAACAAAGACACACATCAGACCTTCGCTTGCTTGTCAGTTATATGAGTGATTTCCTTGATGAATGGTGGAAGAATATTTCCTCATTTTTGTGTGCTATTCACAATGTCATGGATAAAGACAGAACAAACATTAAAATGTAATCTGTATAGGGTGCCTGGGTGGCTCAGTCGGTTAAGTGTCTGACTCTTGATTTCGGCTCAGGTCATGATCTCAGGGTGTGAGATCGAGCGAGCCCTGTGTCTGGCTCCATGCCCAGTGTGGAGCCTGCTTAAGATTCTCTCTCTGCCCCTCCTTGTTGCTCTCTCTCTCCAAAAAAATAAAATAAAAGTAAAATGTAATCTGTGTTATTAACATTTTCTCTATTAGTTTCTTAAATCTAAACAATCAACAAAACAATAAAGCAAGCCCTGACTTACAAAGTTTGCCAATTTTGGTGATGTAAATACTCCCCCCCCATGGCCAATTTCAAGTTAGGAACCTGATGTCACTCAACACAGAAGTGGGAAGACGTGCACAGAAGCAAACCGTTCTTTAGTATTTCTATATAGACACAACAGATAAAAGCAACCTCAAAAGCACCAAGAAGAGTAAAACGTAACAAAATTATTAAGGAGTGATGAATTATGAGTATTTATTACCTGTGTTTTTAATGTACTTGATTTGATCTGTAAGTTCATATAATTTGATTTGTAACTATGACCGTATTAAACAACCAGCTCACAAAATCCTTGAAATGTAACACTGGCTCTTATGAGTCGGTACATGCCAACTCCCACACACCACTGGGTAGGAAGAAACAAACAGGTCATAATAAACAAATGATAATACAATCTAATGGTGCTGGTTATTATTAGGTATAAGGAACACACGACTGGGGAAGAATCCAGGATTCCCTGATACATGGTCAGAATGGAGCCGATATCGGAGTATCTGTGGTGATGATCCGTGGTTCCCACAGTCTAGGTCTCCTGTCCCAGACTGTACGGAATGAACCACCGGGCTGACAGGGAACTTCTAGACTAGACCAGATGGTACTAGCGGTGTTCGTAGGCAGGGCTTTCTGACTGGCGGGTCTGTATTTAGCGAATGCCAAAACTCCACCCCCTGGCCATGCTCTTTCTTCGTCTACTCCAAGTGGTGTATGTCCCTCCCTGGCTGGGCTGCAAAGTCTTTTGAGGGCAGAGATCAGGACTGGATGATCCAAAAAGCATTCTGAGCTCATACTTAGGGAGTCAGAAAAAGCAGTGTTTCTGAAGAGAATTTAACATCTCGAAGTATGCATCAAAGTAGTCTGCATGAGGAAACTCAGAAGCTTGCTGTACTTTCTTATACTTACGCTATTGTTTTTATTTTGAATGACACAGGAGATGGTGGGGGAGGTGGGAATTGGGAGTAGAGAACCATCATCATTTTGTAAATAGAAGGTTTTAATCCAGCTTCAGTTATTCATTTTATGTCACCCCTCTGTTCTCTAGCAATAGCTTGGCTTTGGACATTGCCAGCATTTAATCTATATTTGTCAAATATATAAAAAACTAAAGTATCAGCCATGAGTACTATGTGAAGTCTAAGAATATAATCTTAGACTGCCATTTTAGAAGCTGGGAGAGATTCTTTAACACGCACTTTCTCCAAGTGTGAAACTGTCAAAAATTTCAATGTCAATGACTCCCTAATATACGATTTAAGACTTCAAAATAATATCAAAATATGATTTGCACTAGGATATTTATGTCTAAGAATAGTAAACTCCGATATCAGAATGCCAAATTAAATCCTCAGCTACATGGATTCTTCATTAGTAGGAACATCATGGAATGTGTATTTTCCTGGTGCTACTGAATGCAGCATGAGGTCATGCTTTTCTTAGAAACTGTGCATAGGAGGATAGAGGAGATACTAATAGAATGAGCATAAAGTGATGGAGAATAAGAAATAAAGGCAAAATGGTAGTTGACCCTTTCGTAGAATGGACAGAAATTCAGTAAAGAGTATCAGAAAAATTCATCAGTATTTACAATTGTTGAATAGGAAGAATAATGAGGTCTATCGTTATGTTATCTTATGTTTCCAAAGACTTTTCAGGGTCCTTGAGTGGCTCTTTCTCTTTCTTTCTACCTCTTAAATTCTGTTTCTCAGGATTCTGTCCTAGGCCTTCTTCCCTTTGTACTAGACTCTCCCCACTATTCTCATGGCTCCAGTAGCCTCTGAGATGGCGATGGGGCCCCAAAGCATATATTCAGCCACTGTGTGTCTACTAAGCACTGATATGATTTTCAGCTGCTGGCTTCACATTCTGTGACTCCCTGTTCTAATGCATCCATGATGAATCTGCCAGAGCTACCTTTCATAACACAAATCCGATTACACCATCTTTTACTTTTCATAATACAGTGGCTTTTCATACTCTTCTGAATAAAGGATAAATATTTTCTAAGAAGCATAAGGTCTTTGCAATCTACCATTTCAGCTTTATCTCCCAACATTACCCAACTCATACTCTACACACTCTAGTCGCTGAACTTCTCAAATGCCATGTTCATTTGCAATTCTAGATTCCTTTCCATGTCAATTTCTCTGCATGAACCCCCACCCCCCCGTGGACTCCAACCTTTCCAGCCCCCTAGACAGAGCTAATAATTTCAACAGGCACTTGTAGGTAGACCTGAGCAACTGTGAAGACACGTTCTGTGTCCCGCATTACTCTACGAACATCGACAGCAGAGCTTCTTTGTCTCGCTCATCCTCGCATTCCTGATATTTTAATGCAACAGTGGAGGGGCTTGACATATCCACCTTAAATGAAAACAGCAAATCATTGAAAATACCCTATCTTCCCTTTAGATAATACCAACCTCTGGATGGACAAACCTTCAGGAGTTGTCCTACACATCAGCCCACTAACATTCTAGAAATTTACCTCACATTTACTCAACAATTATTAAGTATCTACTATGTGCTATGCCCCCGCCCCGGCCCCGGGGGGGTGGGGTGGGGATAGGAAAATGAATGAGACACAGACACAAGAACCACAAATACCAGTTTGTTCTACCAGCTGCTTACAGAGGGGACCATAAGGGAAAGGGCTGTCAGATTTACCTGGAGGAGTCATGAAAGGATGGGCTAAAAATTCACTGCCCTTGAAATCCAAGCCAAATATTAGATCCCAAAATCAAGTAGATAAAATGGAAATCCTAGCTCTGTTTAAAGATCACCTATCACCAAGTGCTGCCTGTTACATTAATTATGAAATAATCACACTAAAAATGGAACACATTTCACAACCTGAACCAACTGAGAAGTGGGTGCACTGCAAATCAGATACAGGAGAAATACCAATAGGCACCAAGAAAGTTGATTACTCTTATTCCACAGGAATTTTCTGTAGGATAAATCACTTAACCCTTTCCGGGCCTGTTTTGTCCTTATTCAAATATAAATGAGAATAATATCTACCTATCAACTCTACAAGGCCATAGAAACAGCAAAGGGGACAACAGATATGCAAATGTCCTGAAAAAGAACACTTGAAATCACTCTACAAATACAAGGTAAGCTCCCCATTACCAGGATCATAAAACACATTTCTGAAAGGTTCTTCAAGAAGCAAAAGGATGGTGTCTCTTTTATTATGTTTGCTTATTTCTGCTGAAAGTAAAATCATGCTTCTTATAAATTTAGAAGCTACAAGTGTGTGATGGAAACCATTTCTAAGGTAAACAAAACCCATATTTTAGGATTCATTTATTCCTTCCTGCATTAATTCAGTCTGTCAACAAATACATAATGAGCAGCAACCCAAAACAGAACTTTGCAAAAACACATTAGGGAAGATTTGACAATAAAATCTTGAAATCTATCCTCAAGATACTTAGTATCTAAGTGATTTTTAGAGCAATGCTGGCTGTCCTATATGTCTACAGGAAAAAACGAGAGATTCAGGGACGTTTTTACGTTAATAGTCATCTCATACGTGGCTTACAAATTGTATGTGTAGATGAATATAGAAACATGAACAAAGAATACTACAGTTCACTGATTAAGTAAGCAAAGGGCTGTAGGATTCTTCAGGTCACAGTTGTAGCTACAAAAGAAATACAAAATGTGTAAACGTATTTTGCCATTAATCCTCTCAGCCACACAAGGAAAAGCGTATCTTCAAATGGCAAACAAAAAAAAGTAGTTGGATGTGTTAACACAGGTTGGGATGAGAGGACAGTACAGAGCCCAGTCTATCTTTTTTATTATGTAAATTAGCATAAATATAAAGACCCAGAGACTGAAAGGAAAAAAAAAAGGGATACTTCTATCCCCACAATAGCAAGTACCAGGGCAATTAAGAAACTGTTCACTCACAATATGGATATGAAAACCCTCAAAATCCTTATTTGGCAAAATCTGCATAAGGTTTCCAAGTCAGGAAAGAGTTGAAGAAATTTTTACAATGTTCTGTATTATGCAGTTAAAAATAAGTCAGTATTTCAGTGGGAAGATGTCTACACCAAATACACTGCTCCTTGGAGTTAGTTATATTTGGATTAATCTCCATATCACAATCTACCCACACTCGTCCATAGCCCATCGAGTGTTATTTGTGGCTTACCGTTTATTTGGATCCTTTATCAAGAGCCCTGAAAGCAGTGATTTTGCATCTGAAGAGAGTGTTCGAGGAAATTTAATGTCTTCCATTAGTATTAGTTCAAAAAGTTTCTCATGATCCTGGTTGTAGAAAGGTAGCCTCCCACACATCATCTCATACATGACGACCCCCAGGCCCCACCAATCCACGGCTCGGCCATAGTCATTGTCTTCTAACACCTAAGAGGGAAACCAGTGAAAAGATTCGTTATTACACATCAACTTTTAGAGCAGTCTTTACCAGATGTACAATTCTTACATCAAAGTGAATCCTAACTTGCAAAGCCTAGGTAGGCTACTCTCACATCTTGACATTTAAACTAGAAAGCATCCCACAAAAGATATGAATCACACCAGATATGTGAAATGTTCAATCCATGTCCCAAAGTGGCCAGTATACCATAAAGGGCCACGTGGCACATTCCAAGTGAGTGATGACTAAGGCTCAAGCAAAAATGGTTTGTGTATCTGCACATTTTCTCATAGGCCTACTTAATTTTTCACTCTGGTTTTACTAATGTGGACTTCAAGTAACTTGGAGGGAAGTCGTGCTGACTGAGCATAAGGAACCATGGAGAAGAACTAAGGAACTTGAGTCAAACTGTGAGGACAGCAATCATGTACGCAGAGTCATATAGACAGGTTCAGGGCACAGCGAGCATGACAATCAAGCTGGAAACTTCTGGAGGGCTCATGCATGTTTAAACTCTTTAAGGAAATAGTCAACAAAGTGAATATAAAGATTTACTGTTTGGGGTGTGTCCAAAGCTTTAGTACCTCACAATAAAATTTCTGTTAAACACAAACACCAAAAATCACAGTGCAGTATCTCTCTGGTATATGCCCTTAAATTTATTTCCCAAAATACATTCTGTGCAAAATAAATTTTGAAAGAAAGGATAGGACAGTATCAGTTAGGCTATGTTAGAGCCACCTACTCAAATCAGGGCATAATAATTCAGCATTTGTCTCAGGAAAATGTTGATTTGTACCTTCTTATTAGGTATGTTCCTCATCCAATGCAATTTTCTTCACTTATTTGGATCTTCCAATATTTTTTTAAAGATTTTATTTATTTATTTGAGAGACAGAGAGACAAAGAGAGCACAAGGAGGGGTTGGGGCAGAAGGAGAAGGAGAGAGAATCTCAAAAGCAGACTCCTAGCTGCGTGTGGAGCCCGACACAGGACTCGATCCCAGGACCCTGAGATCACAACCTGAGGCGAAGGCAGACGCTTAACTAACTGAGCCACCCAGGTGCCCCAGGATCTTTCAGTATTTTATTTTAAATTACTATATCTGAATAATCTTAAAGCCTACTTTATCTGATTCTCTTAGCTTTGGGACAAATAGAGAAAGAAAACCAATTAAAAAAATCTTATAACTGATTACATAAGAATTTGATACAGAAAAAAGTGGTGCACATGTTCCAAACTTTCTTAGTTTGAGTTAAGTAAATAAGTTGTTGAAGATTACTCCTATGTGACTTTTATTTAAAATTTACCAATAATTTCATAGAATTGACATGGTATGTTTGACAGTTAGACCATGATTACCTATCAATGCTATGAAAGGCACTTGGTAGAGAGGGTATTTATATGCATGGAGAATGTAATTTTGAGAAAAAACTATGTTACTTAAAGATTACTTCAGCAGTTTTTTTCAAATGTTATGAGAAGATTTTTACTTCGGTTGTATCCAGTCTCAAGATGACATAGGAACTGCATTAGCAAGATATGAACACAAGTCCAGTTCCTATGTTTTTCCAAAAAATCTTTTGTAGAGTAACAAACTAAGCAAAATATTTTGGGGAAGAACAAATTCTAGTTTTTGTCTTTGGCTAAAAATATTTCAGATTTCTACTTGTTCGAAATGAGTAATGTAAGAACACAGAGAAAACAAGAAATAACCTAAAGAAGCAGAAAGAATTCAGCTGTGTACTTATTACTTCAGTGAAAGAAAACGCTGTATGTATGATTTTTAAATACCAGTGACTTTTGATTGTTCAAGAATCTATCTCCTGTCCAATTAGTAGAATGGACTGTTTGTGGGCCTGATCTAATAGATCCAGGATTTCACCTAATGACAAACAATTTTAAAATCTAAGTAACCTTTTACTCAATTCCTACAACACCAACAAAACAGTGGCACGCGCAAAAAAGAGCCAAATGTGGTTTTTAACCTCTTTTTTCATAAAACCATAAAAAGCATAAAAGCTGGATTAACTGCTTCCCGAACCCACGTTTCACCAGCCGGGTTCTCATCCCCAGCTGGTAAAACTGGCAATCCTTTATTTTTGTTTAAATACCTGGTTTGCAGCCAGAAGGGAAAGTGAGTACATAAAAAAAGGGTTTTATTTTTGAAAAGAAATAAGCAACTGAAAAATAAAACTGCATTGTAAAAATATCTGTTTGATAAAATAAATTTTTTATTTCGCTTTGTAAAATGAACACTGATTCTCAAAATAAGTGGTTTTGCTTCTGAACATACGCACTTTAATGAATATATAGATACATCACACTGCAATTAGAACTGTTTGCTGTATTATTTGAACTGAACGAATCTGATTTGATATATTGTATCTTATCGACACCTGAAGTCCAGCAACGCCGGGGAGAAAAAAACCCTAAAAACCCAGCCAGCCCTCTTAATCTAAGAGTCTTTGTTCTCAATTAAAAAGAAAGATTTCTGTTCAACTCCCACCTCCAAACAGCTGGAAGATGAAATATACAAGAAATAAAAAGAAAAGCGATACAGAATATAAAACATGTTGCCACTGTTCAGACAATATCCCTTCTCTCTCCCTAAATCTAAATTATCTCAAAACACAATACTTCCAAAGGCTCTAGAAATTCCAGAGTGAAATTAAAATCCACAGCCTCTTTTATATTATTTTCTAAAGACAATTTTCCTCCCTTACTCAAAGCACATATTTTCCCCCAAATTACAGTAACATACAAAATTTACATTCCTTAACCTAAGAGTTGCAATTCCTTCTGACTACTTCTGGTGACTTTTTTTTTTTCCCCTAGAAAAAGGCTAATTTACTTGCTGGTTATCAGGAGGGCTCAAAAGGTGCGATTATCGGTAACGCAGAGGCACAGCATGGCAAAGTGCATTTCAACTCCATTACCACTCGCCTTATCATATAATTTGGATATAAATGCAGATCAAATCTGCTCCTAGAGAAATAATCCACTGAAAGACTTCTGAAGGATTAAAGAAAGTGTCTCTTTTCCACAGAATCACTGTTACTAATGTTTACAACTGAACTCAAGGTTTCAATACGAATGCAGACACTTGGTATTTCCTTTGCACCCTATTGTCTCTGTCACCACAGATGTAGCTTTAGTTTGTAACTACATTTAATGCAAAAGAGAGACATAAAGGACAAGAGGTGATCTGGAACACCAGAAGTAATGTAAATATTCAACAATGATAAGAGGTCACAGTAACTCAATATCCAAACAGAACACAAACGCTGGGAAACAAGGCTTAGTTTCCATTTTTCAACCAGGAGCCAGAGAGTGCTTCACTTTCTGATATAATAAAACCGGTTTCAAGGAGGTCACAGCAGGTATCCATTACCATTAAATATTCTGGTAACATTTGGTTAATATTTGGTAATAGTTGATGTAGATGCTTCTGTTTATAAAAGAGCCAGGGGAGTTAAATAAAAATCAGCATAAGTAGCTCTTGAATGGTTACTAATTTCAAGGATGATAATAATAAACTATGAATTTTAAAATGATATCATCAGTTAAAGTTCCCAATGTAAATATTTATTTGGCGAATGGGTACTTCCAAAAACCATATTCACTCCAGTGTTCTCTTACCAACTGGGATTTACTGGAAGGTTGAAGGAACACCTCTCTCGGCTTGGCCGCCAGGCCACACAATGCACCCAAGGCAAGCAATTATAAGGAGGGGATGTATGCCCCGGAGTGGCTTGCTGCTCAATCAATAATCCAGACAGAACAGATGGGGGAAAAAATTAAACATCCAAACAAACTGTCTGCACACCTATGTTGTGAAAGTAAACTGCGAACTTGGATGAACCAATTTACCATTAATTCAAAAAAGAATTTTTTTTTTTCCTGGTAACCTTGTATTTCAGGTAACGGATATGTGTGTGTTTTCTATGTAAACATACGTTTCTATACTTTATCATTTATGGAAATCCTTTACATATTCTCCACATCCTAGGAATCTGCTTAAAAAAAAAAAAAAAGACCTGTTAAGTCTTCCAATCCAGATTCTAAAATGTAGTGCAGCTTTAGAAGTCTGTATTTCATGGGAATTACGAATTCCACTGTTTCTTGGTATTTTCTTCACGGATATTTATTTTATACCCGGTTCTCAAGCACTCTGTTAATTCTTAAGAGACTGAGGGTAAAGGCCATTTGCTGTGAAGGAGCAGGGCTGTAGGCTTTACGGATGCTTCCTTGCGTGTCCACGCAAGGACGGCTCACAGCGTCCTCTCGAAAGCAGTCCCTGGCTGCAGCAGGCAGCTCTCCTGAGCAAGAGGAGCACTACACGGGTGCAACGCACTTACGCACATCTGCCCAGGCAGTTCCCTACTTCCCTCCGATCCCAGAGCAACAGCCATCGAGGGGTTTCAGGAAACTGGGCCTTTCTCACCCAAAAGATGACAGCCATTGCAAAATACTACAGGTCATCAGTAGCGCGCGCCCAGCGGGCACTGAGTTTTGTCTCAGTTGTCATGCTTCAGAGAATTTCAAATTAAATTCTGGGCTTAACCTAGAATCATTCCAAAGCACAGAATGCAACTATTCCTGCTGCTAAAGCCGAAAGAGCACACAACACCGAAAAGAACTTTAGGTGAGAACTAGGGGCTGCAGGAACTCACAGGCCTCTAAGGAAGTAGGAGCCGCAACTTAGCGACACCCAGAGACAGTGAAGGTTGAACTAGAAATATTATTTTCGTTCATATTTAAGTAATATCCAATTTGGGGAGAAAGTGGGATGATGTTTACCATTACCCAGAAACAGTATAAATAGCATGCCAACTCATGACAGTTACAGGCCCTTAAGTCTCCTTATACATGAGCGGACAACCTCTACCCAAACTAATCACTGTGCTCCTTCACTTAATTTCCCCCTTAATATTGATGGATCCTCCTTTTTGGAGCCATTCAGGAGGATAAAGGTTTTCAAAAA